CCCCCCCCCCCCTCCCACCCATATATCTGACAACCGATGGAGAAATACGACTCGGCTCCGCTGATTCATGCCATGTCTGTCACTCATCCGCTCTGCCCGTCAGAACGGTTTGGAGCAGAGAGGGCATTTGGGTGTCGGCTCCGGCTCGAACCCCTCCTCCTCGTCGGCATCGTCGGTGCCGCCCGCCAGGATGCGCTCGTGGCACGACCCACAGTAGACCTTGCAACCTATGCACAAACAAACAAATGACCTGTGCATCTGTGCGTGGTGTCCCTCCCTCCCTCCCTCGCTGACCGCACGGCAGCACCACTGTGCGCGGCTCCGACAGGCAGGCCATGCAGACGCTCTCCCTCTCACGCTCAGCCACCTCTGTCTTGGTACGCTGTTCCTCGGCCGCCCCCCGCAGCTGTGTCAGCCGGGTCACCTCGGAGTCGATGTTGATCACGAGGCAGCCCAGCTCCGCCGAGCTGATCTGATGCAGACGGGCACCGCCGAGGCGACCACGCTCGAGCGATGCATTCTGCTGGCCGAGTCGCGCGTTGTCAGCCTGGAGCGACTGTATGGCCGCATCGCGCTCTTCGATGATGGAGTCCTTCTCGTCGATGGTGTTGGTCAGGGTCCTGGTGCTCTTCCGCTGCTCGGCGATGATGCGGTCCTTCTCTTTGATAGTGTTGTCCTTCTCGAAGATGGTACGATCTCTCTTCTCGATAGTCATTCTCGCCTGACAGAATACATTTGAGGGAACGGCCATCGGCTGAGTGAGTGCAACGGCCCCTCTAGCCACTTACGTCGTGCAGTTCTGTGAGCGCCTTGAGGTAGTTGGGCTCCCATGGACTGACCGACACGATGAGGGCCATCTGGGCATCCCGCACCGACGAGTAACTGCTCGGGTCCACCTTGGACAGGATCGACACCACCGTGCTGGACGAACACAGACCGCCCAGCTTCCGCTTGAGAATGCCAAACAAAGACACCCCCACTGATCAGAAGAGAACAGACAAACAAGCACGGAATTGCGACTCGAGTCGGAGGCACGGAATTGCGACTCGAGTCGGAGGCGGCGAGCCCTTGATGTGATGCGTACCTTGGCACACCGTGGTCTGCGATCTGACTTCGAACACGCCAATCCGCGGACTTCCGTAGTCGTCGCCCACAATCTGCACAATCTGTGGGACGCAGAGACAATGGCACCAGCCGACATTCATTCCTTTCGCCAGCCCGGCCCTTCCTGTTTTCTGCCGATCTCACCGTCTTGTGTCCTGCATTGTAGGCCTCCAACAGTCGGGCGCGGTTCTCCCCACTGCTCTCAGGAATGGTGTGCTCGACTCCCTGAGCGGCTATCAACACATACATGGCCATGGAGGCTTTCGACCCACTCAGCCTGCCTGCCGGCATCTCACTCCTGACGAGCTGCCGCCAGTCGGGAAGAAGAGATCTGGATGGATGGATGGATGACGCGGCATTCCTCTCCTCTCTCAGACTTACGGGGCGAAGAAAAGTTCTTCGTATTGGTAGCGATGGCGTTCAGCGTGTCACCATGTGTGATGCTGTAGTAGTCGAGGGCCTTGTCGTGGTCCAGCTGCCATGACACAAACACACACAGCCTGATCACATTCATGCAGATCTGAAGGCCACGTAACGTACCAGTTTGCCCTGGAACATGACGCGCAGCACTTCAGCTGGGAAGCCCTCCTTGGCCTCATACTTACGCAGCACGTCCGCTACCTGCGGTAGGCAGACAGCACACACACGAGAGATGATGCCGATGATGCCTGGGCCCATTGCATTCACCGGTGCTCTCTCACCAGCTCTCCTTGCTGCACGTCCAACACCACGCTGCGAGAGGCCGCATTGCCGCCGCGAACAAACAACTGCATCGTCAGATCTGCGAGAAAGACGGTGATTTTCCCCAGGATGGGCCACTCATGCCCGCAGCTGCAATACACACGACATGAGCAGGATTGTTATTGATGCGTGTTACTCGCGCATGCTGAGTTGGGGCTGTGTGAAACCGATTGTTGGCGTTAACAGTAAAGTTCCTGTACGCCCCTGCCGCTTTCTCGATGCTGCAGAAGATGGTACATCATTGGCCGAGGATGGCCAGCGGGGATGAAACGGATGAGAATTGGTGTGTGCATTGCATCTTCAGGTGAGATCTGCGCTCCTCTCGGCCCTCCTGGCGGCCTTCTGCCTCCCCCATCTGTCGCACGGAGCCTGCAGATCAACGAAGAATTTGCGTCTCCGTTCCGGAGTGGAATCCTGGTGGAAATCCTGGTCTACCTCTTTGTCTGCAGGGGCAAGGAGATCGACCATGTGGACCAGGCCTTTCTTGTGGACGCAATCGTTCTTGACTTCCTCGGCGGCGGCGGCACGTTCACGCTTCTGTGGATCAAACAAAGACCAGATCAGCGCCCCAGATGTGATGCCGTCTCCGTCCCTGGTTGTCCATCTCGAATAGCTGACATAGCCATCGGCACGAGGAGGATATCTTCAACAGCAGCTGATGGATGAATGGATGATGCCGTCCGTGATGTGATGCCGTCTCCGTCCCTCGTTGTTCATCTCGAATAGCTGACATAGCCATCGGCACGAGGAGGATATCTTCAGCAGCAGCTGATGGATGAATGGATGATGCCGTCCGTGATGCCGTCTCCCTCCCTCGCTCGTTGCCGCGGAGAGGTAGGATGCTCTTGGTTCTGGGGCCGTTGCACAGCAAGTCGCAGTGGTAAAGGGGTCGCCGCTAGTGGCGAAGGGGTCGCCGCGCTGCTGCTGCTGCTGGCTGCCGCCTGGTGGTCGCTGCCGTCGCCGCCCTCTTGTGGTAAGGTCTCGGGTCGGCGCTCTCGGCTTCAGGCGGTGCGTCCAGCGCCTCCGACATGGCCTGGAGGAATTCACAAGAGGGGCAGCCACTCATCGCCTGACACACGGAAGGAACTCAATACATGTTTGCGGGCAGAGGTCCTCATGCGTGCCGATCAGCGTGGCGGACTTGGCAGCGTCTGAGCGGCGAGTGCGTGCCATTTCTAGACGATGGCTTGGTCAGCCTGCCCTTTCGACCTCTTTTAGCCGCTCC